TTGCATTTAAACCATTAACTTGCTGGTGAATATTTAGCTTCCTTTGATTTCGATGTGGTACTTTCCTTGGTGACGGCTCTGGTATCTTCAAAGGTTTTTTTAAAATCCTTAGCGAGCCATTCAGCTTCGTCGATCCACCTGAACGCTCGAATCACCAACGTAAAACGGTGGCGAGCTTCTTGTATATGCTTCAATTCAACAAGCTGTTTTAAACGTAGCGTATCCAAAATTAGATCAGTATGCTAACAAGTCGACATATTCACTCGTCTTTATCGCCATGATTTCGTTCATTGCTCTATCCAGCGGTAGCGTTTGCCTGACAACAGGGATCACCCGCACTTCATTGTAGGGTTTCACAATTACTCTGCTGGAAAGGGCAACACCAGAGTGGCTACCTTCGCCTTCTAAAAAAAACTGTTAAAAGCGCAGCCACGTCTTTAAATTTCGCTAAAGCCGATAGTTTGTGCTCCCGGTATTGTGCCGCGAGATCCAACGCAAATTTTCGAGATTCTTTCGCTTGTTGCCATTTTTGGTGTTCCTTCGTCATCCCTTTAATATTGGGGCGTTCCGCAAACGCTCACGCCCGTATATTGTTGTCAATGCCCCCCCTCCGCATCCGATTTGGTCAATTTTTAGTGTCATCTCGGGTGATTTTGATGTGACTTCTACCATTTGTTGATGAGCTGTACTTATTTTTTTCTCGGTGATATCATGTCTACTCGTGTCCAGATCTGTCTCGTTGTCATGTTACACATCACTGGCATCCAAACACGCCTTTACCGAGCTTTCGTACAACTTCTTTTCGGGCGTGGATGCATCGGTTGGCGAGGGGCGCCATAAAACCAAGTATGTAAGAGGCTTGCACTATCAATGCCTGGCACTCGAGATAATCCAGTAAAGTCCGATTGGTGGCGCTGCGAGAAGCCCACGACGTTTTCTTTCTGAAATGCGTCGTAAAATGCTTCGAGCCATTGCCGGGCCACGCTATACGTAAGAGCAGACTGAAGCGCCATAATCGAAAATATTTGCTCTGCTATCGCCTTCGCTTATTGATACTTCAGCGCGCTGGGTTGGGCTGTGGTATCAAGTGGCTTCGGTGCGGGTTATAGGAAGTATGGGACGCATTGGGGCCTTCCAAGTGGCGTCTGCGCGGGTTATTCGGTTTAAGAAACGCACTCGGGCGTTCCAAGTGGTGGTTATGCGGTTTACGGGACGCATTCGAGTGTTTCGGGTGGCGAGGAGTACACGGCAACTTATATGGTAGAAGTCAACAAAACGCTGTGTTATCAGACTGTGACTGCACAAGGGCAAGCTTTGGGTCTTCCTAGACCTGTTGGTCGAGAGGCGACTGGTATCAGGTTTGAAACGACGTCTAGCGGAGGAGGAAATCGTCGTGTGATACCGTGTCTAGTGAAGGTAGAACGCGTCTTGTGGCTCCTCCTTGAACGGTGTCTAGTGGAGGCGGAACGGGTCGTGTGTCTCACTCCGGAACGGCGCTTAGTGCAGGCGGAACGGGCCCGTGCGTCGCACTCCGGAATGGCGTATAGTGGAGATGGAACGCGGTATGTGGTTCCCTTTGGAACCGCGTCTAGTGAAGATGGGACGTGTCGTGTGGTTCCCCGTGGAACGGCATCTAGCAAAGACGGAACGCGTCTTGTGGATTTAGAATGTGAAGCGACTCCCGGTGCAGAAGCTGATGATTATGCTGGAGCACCTAAAGTGAAGGAGCTTATGAATATGCTGGATCAGTCGCGACAGAAAGTATTCGTGAAGATGTACGAGTTAATAATATGCAATTTGGCCACGATACATGAAGAGCTGACAGCCAAGGTGTCCACTGACCCGGACGAATGGCTTGACATGTATAAGGGCTCGCGTGCGCTCATGGGCGATCGCAAAGCGCGGATTGGATCTCAATCGAGTTGTCGATCGAATCTGGAGCGTACCAGTGGTGTACGAGGAGGTGTTCCAGACAAGTCAGCTGTGAGTATCCCCAGGAGCGTGAATGAAGAAACACTGAAGGAGCGCCACAAGGTGCCGGGTTATGTTGTGAATACGCTGAAGGAACGCGTCAAGGTGCCGAATGCTGGTGGAACCACACGGACGGAGCGCGACAACATACTAAGTTCGGAAGAAATCATGCTGGTGGAACGCCGGTTAGGGAACGCTGAGACGCTGCAATGACCCAAGGCTACGGCTCGTGCTGGTGCTCTAGACAGAAAAATTATTGGCAGCATGCTCTTACGACCAACATGGAGCGAGGTACCTCCAGTCAGGGATAAAAGAACGTGGTTTTGACCCTGGTCGGGGAGCGTTTCCAGCGACGCTAGGACGCTGCCAAATCCCAAGCTTACGACGTGCTCTAGCGTACAGGACTGGGAGTGTTTGGCGTGTGTCATTGCGACCGACACGGGGCAACGTATCCCCAACTAGGGATAAAGCGACTTGGAACGGCGAGTTACAATCCTGGTCGGGGAGCGCTTCCAAGGTATTTCGGCAAAGCGTTCCAAAACAAAATTGGATTGGAACGCGTCAGAGTATCCGTATCACACTACGCCGATGGTCACCATGGCGAAAACGATGCGGGTGGCAGCTGAGAAGGGTTCGTCGAGGCCGACAAACACTGGTCGGGGAGAATTGTCATGGTATATGTTCATCTGCCAACCTGGCATGATTCGAGGGAACGCTCCCTAGTCGTGGGAATCGTGATGTACGTGCCTGAAGTGGCACCAAGCTCAAGGACGGATGGGAGGCGAGGTAGGAGCCACATTAGCGGTGAAGAAGGTGGGTTGTCACTACAATAAGGACGGATGTCGCCTCTCGGGTAGCTGTTGGTACTACAGGAGGAGGTGTCATGTTTAGGAACGCGTCGAAGTCCGACGCGCTCCGGTTTAGCTGACTAGATTCACGTTCGGCTTTGCGGAGTAGGAGACACTAACTACGTTCAACGAGCTTCACTTTTACAACCTTTTACCTCTCCACCGTGCGTGAGGCCACGGTCGACGGCCTCGCTACGGGAATCTTCGACTTCCCCTTTTCTTCCTATCGACGTGGAGCTGCTACGATCTGGGGATGGAACAGCTGCGGAAGGCGTTCCAAAAATTGTATCGTTCCGGAACGACCCCGTAGTACGGGGTCGTTCCGGATGTACGGGCCGTACATCCCTGTCCGGTGACAGCTGCTGGATTTGTCGCTAATGACCGAGCGTCGCCAATTACATAAGGAATACGGTAATGCTAAGCTGATATTTACTGTTAAAAATATCATTTTGTCATCAGAAGAAAATATTAGGTATTTCTTGCATTAACTGGTCTACCAGGTGATATTATCACTTAGGCCCGTTGTTAGCCAATCTCACTAGTGGACAGACTTCCTTAGTGGATAGAGTTTTTTCTACACCAGGTTGGTTGTCAACGATATATACAGAAGTGGACGCCTTGGTGGATAATGCCAGTTCAAACCGAGGCGGGAGGGTTGACATCTATAAGAGTAAGTTTTGGTTTACTAAAATTAGTTTTCTTGCACACAACTTCAAAAAGACCTACGACCTTACTAAGCATGTACACGACCTCCGCAGATGATGTCGCTACAGTTCTTCGTGTCCGCCAAGAGTCACAAGCACGACTCGCACTGCTACTGTGCAGTCTGTTGAGGCGTTCCCGTGGAGCCAGATACTCTCGCCGTCGTGTGGACCCAGATGAGGAAATTGCTATTCTCCTCAGAGAGAACATGTTTGAGAGAACGTTTAGAATGTCTCTCACCAGCTTCGTGCTACTGTTGAGCTTGCTTACGCCACACCTTCAAGTTAACGAGCGTCAATCATCTAACTCTAGTGGTGAGGATCCGATTTCCCCGTGTATAATGCTTATGGCTACACTATGGTATCTAGCTGGAGGATCTTACCTGGATATTCGACGGACTGTTGGCATTCACTGGCGCTCTTTTTACCGTGTCGTGGACACTACAATGTCCGCCATTCTTTCCCTGCGAGAACTACACATTAAATTCCCATCTACAAATTCTGAGAGGGAGACTGTAATGAAGGACTTTGAAGAGATCAGCTCGGGTCATGTTCTGAGGGGGTGTCTTGGTTGCGTCGACGGATGGCTCTGTGTGATTCAATCGCCTTCAGTGCGAGATGCTGGTACGGTGGGCTCCAGTAAATACTTTAGTGGTCACTACTGTTGCCCTGGAATCAACGTTCAAGCAGTATGCGATGCAAAGTGTCGCTTTACTGCTGTTGATGCTACCTACTCTGGAAGTACGAATGATTCTCGAGCATTTCGAGAGACAGACGCATACAGAAGCCTCAATACATTTGGATGTGGGATGTACTTAATTGGTGATAATGCCTACCCTGTATCCGAACATTTGCCGACACCTTTTACTCCAAACTCAAGACGAATACCATGATTCATTTAACTTTCATGTGAGTCAACTGAGGATTCGAATTGAAATGGCTTTCGGCCTTCTAACTTTTGAAAACCCGGGTGGACGGGGATCTGATTCCAAGTTAGTGGATGCATATGGCGTTCACTTACAAATCTCTGATTGGGCCACTACATGTATTGACAAATCCACTAAATTAGCGATTCTTTACCATTAAATGTCGTGTACTCGTAGATAGTACAGAAGTTCCCGCAGCATCCACTTCATATACCCCTTTGTATCGGATAACAGGAATCGGAGGTACATTTGACAAATTACCTGATCGCATCAAATTCATTATGCAAAATTATCAGACGACCCCTACGCTTATTGAGGGTGACTTCTATAGATAGGTTGCAGTAACGACTCCCGTGATTAATTACCGTAGGCACTGTAGCTCCTTTTTGCGTGCAAGTACTTTTCTTCAAGCTTCAGTTCGTAGTAAAGTTGTGAGCGCTAGCTATTATTAATAGTAGATGCAAAGCCCTTCAATAATGCTCTTACAGTTAACATGTAACAAAAATAATACCAGTTCTCACAAAGGGCGCAGCTCACATGTTCATATCATTATTTCAGCTTGTCTTGTTGGTCTTCTCCCTTTGCTGGTCCAGCAGCAAGCTATCCATGATGCTTGCGGACACATAGTCTGCTCCTCCTTCCTGACTCTCAACTCGGGGAGCAAATTTATTCTGCCCCGCCAGCTTGAGCTCAGCCATTGCCAAACTCGCTTCTTCGGTGCGCCGTACTCCGTCCTGTAATTCGTATTCACCTGCAGACGCCAGCGAGACGCTTGAGCGGCCTACTGCTGGCGATGTGGATGTTTGTACTAATGGATCCGAAGCTCCCAGTACAGCCGCTGTCGAGTGGTTCATTGTACCAAGTGTTATTGCGCTAGCTGGAGCTGCGTCGCTCGTGGGTTGCAAGGGGCGACGCATGCTTCCGACGCTCGTGAGCTCCGAGCGGATCTCGTTGAGCTCCTCGATGCCACGCTGGAACTCGCGCTGTAACTTGACAATATCGTTGTCCTTTGTGGCGTCGAAGAACTCTTTCTTGGCTCGGACGATAGCGCCCACACTTCGCCCACTGTACACTCCCACGAAGCGCCCGATCTTGGGCAGCTCTCGCCGTCCAAGCAGGAAGCCCGACATCGTGACCGTCACGAACACCGTGCCCCAGTGCACCATACTTGTAATAATGGAGACTGTGTGGCGGACACCAAGTGCACCACAAAATTTGTGATCTACTTTAATTTTATAAAAGTATATCCGGATAATCAAACATATATCCGGATATAGATCTGACTCGATCCTGGAATGGCTTCACAACGCAATAAAGAACCCTCATACCATCCATGACAGTCACTGCCCACGGATTCCGCTGTTACATAACGTAATTACATGTATCCAACTCACCTGTGAGCATGTCAGGCCAAGAACGCAGTCGCCACTCTTGAATTTGCTGCTCTTCGGTCACTTTCTCTACCACGATTCTGCTCGGGACTCGAGTGCAGGCTCCTGCAATGGTGTCGTCTGCTGCGCTGAGCATCGAAGCTTCAGTAAGAGAGAACAAGTTCTCGTCCATGGACACAAGAGACGACGTCAAGTCTCGTTGGTTCAAGACTCGCCAACTGCTGCAGAGTATCCAAAACTCCCCTTTCTGGTCGCATCGATGGCTCGGTTGGGCTTTCGTCTACGTCTCGGTATTACTAGTCTTCCTTGTGGATCGCTCAGTCGGACTATCGGCGCTCATCGAGATGTACGGAAGTGACAAGGACCACACGCTAGGAGTGACGCTTGGAGCACTGGGTCTGGGTATGCTTGAGGACTGGATCTGCGCCACGTACCTCGTCGCCGTGCTGTGGCTCATCGACTTCTTCCTAAGCCAGACCCTTGGCGCCTCCTCTGATAGTATGACGCTCCAGACTTTCATCAAGTGGAAGCGGCAGCGAATTCTTCGTCGTGGAGTCACGTTCGTGACTTCGTGGCTTCTCTTCGTGGCCACCGCAGCTCCGTTCGCTGTAGACATGATGCTGGTTCGTCTTCGTAGCATGCGTTTCACCTTCGAGATCGTGTCGATGGCCATTGCAGAGAGCGACATGGTCAGTAGCGTAGCCATCTCCGACTCTGAGTACAAAGAGGCCTACATCACAGGCACAATCCTCGCTCTATTTGCCACGTTCTTCGCTTCAGTCCGCACATGGACGTCATGGGCAGATCTCACACGCTGGAACCCGACCAGCCCACACCCTTTACTGCATCTCGTAAGGAGAATCTGCTTACGCTTCAAGAAAGACGACGAGCTCTGGACCCCAAAAGAGGAAATACATCACGGTTCCTCCTCATCTAGCGACAGCTACGACGACGTGAACGAAATGTTACTGGAGAACGGGAAATTGGTCCAATACGCACACACCACCACCCCAAATCGCAGCTACAGTCTCAGCAACGAAGCCTCTGATCGTTCTGATAGCGACGTCTGTGAGCGACCTACGCTGTGCGCACGAGTGGCGCTTTGGCTTCACAGTGCTGACTGGCTACGACTCAGTATCGAACTTCTCGTGGCTCTTGTGGCGCTCGTCTTCCTCCCCGTAGCCATCTTGGCAATCAGTCAAACGTCTTCCCCACTCATCGCGAACGTGGCTTTGGACACGACAATCAACGAATTGTTCGTGCGAGCTCTGAAAGTGACGGACATTGGCTTTGTGCCTCCAGTCGCGGACGGCACAATCGAAGACGCGTCCGTGTACATCCATCCAACCGAGAGCTACTCGCTCTCTGCTAACGACTCGCTCTACCGACTAACCACCGGGTTCAATGGAGATCTGGCCTTCAACGTGAGTGTAAGCGACTCAAATCCGCCCAATGTCGTCGTCATCGTAGTGGAATCTTTCCGTTTCCACGACTCGCACTATTTGGTCGGAGAAGAAGATCCGTCCGAGCTTTTCAAAGGTTGGAATGGTACCGTTGTCCCGAATTTCGACAAGTGGGCGAAGCGTGGAGTGGCCTTCTCCAATCTCTGGTCCAGCTGGAAGACCAGTCGGTCGCTTGCAAGTCTCCTATTCGCACAGATCCCGTACGACGCCACACAAACAACCGAGACAGCTGGAGCTCGACGGGATGTCGAACTCGCTGGGATGCCCCAATTTTTCAAGACAAAAGGGTACGACACTTTCTTCACGACTGGAACGGATACTTCATACGACGACTGGGATGTGTTCCTACCAGCTCATGGCTTTGATTCTCTATGGGGTGAACAAGAGATGATGAAGTATGGAGAGAGTGGTATGGGTATCTCGTCGGAGGACTGGGAAGGCGAAGCTCATCGGAAGTTCCGCTGGGGTGTACACGACGACGTGAGTTTTGAGATTCTGGGCAATTTGCTGATCAACAAGACCAACGAACAAGCCGCAGATGCGAGCAGAACACCGCTGTTCCTCACGCATTACACCATCTCAAGTCACGTGGAGTACGAAGCTCGTCCGACGTGGTACGTCGAGTCGGATAAACCAGACTTCTCTGCGCTCTACGACGGCGAAAAACACGCTGGAAACGTCAAGAAGTACTTAGAAATGCGGTATTTTACTGACATGGAGCTCGGCAAGTTCATGGATCGCATGGAGACTGCAGGTGTACTGAACGATACCATCGTCCTCATTGTGGGAGATCACGGTCAAGCTCCAGAATTCGGGAATAACACACCCGAGAAGCGAGACGTTTCTTGTACCCACGTGGCTGGAGCTCTCATCGCTGAAGGGAGACTCGGTGACTACGTTGGCCTCAAGATCGACGATGCTGCTGAGCAGTACGACATCCTCAACACTCTGGCGGATATCGTCGGTGTTCCTGAAGAGGGATTCGAGCAGGATGGCATTGGTCGGTCACTCAAACGCAAAGTCACGTTTGGAGAACGCGTGGTATACAGCAACAACCCAGCAGTCAAGAACTCGGTCGTCCGAGGCCATGAACGTCTACGTTACGACCGCAGTACCGACTCGGTTCTCGTCCACAATTCCTGGAGCGATCACGACATGAAGATCGACCTCTTTCCTGCTCTGTCGACCGAAGAGAAGAACGAGTGGAGAAGCTGGCGCGATCAGGGGCGTGAGGTCACTGCGTACTTCAAGAAACGCTGGGAAGAAAAGTGTCTGCTGTGCTGACGCGAGGAAGCGGACAGCACGTTAAAGATGTTGATATACCAGTGCATTATAAACGTCTTCAGCTGCACCTTGGGTTGGCTAATGAATACTTAACTAATGCTTTTTAATCGTCGCAACGGCTTAGCACTTGGCTGCAAAAAGACATCTCTTGTCCCACCGCTTGACGTAATATTCCGTGAGTTGGCGGCCGTGATCCCGCCATGTGAGCCACTCGTTCTGCTGCTCCAGAGTCAAGTCGGGGAACAGATCCACGTGCATGTCGTGGTCAGCCTTGGCGTCATGAAGAAGCACAGATCTCGCTGCACGGTCGTAGCGCAGACGCTCCGTACCGCGAACAATCGACATTTTCCGGCTGGGATTGTTGCTGTACACCACTCGCTCTCCGAATGTGGCTTGGCGTTTGAGGGATCGACCGACTCCATCTTGCAGAAATCCCTCTTCAGGAACACCGACGATATCCGCCAGAGTGTTGAGGATATCGTACTGCTCGGACGCGTCCTCAATCTTCAGCCCCACGGCGTCTCCCAGTCGCCCTTCAGCCACCAACGCGCCCGCAACATGATGAACGGACACGTCTCGAGCCTCCGGGATGTAGTTTCCCGCTTCCGGGGCTTGACCGTGGTCGCCGACCACAACGACGATCGTATCGTTGAGGATGCCCGCAGCAGACATGCGGTCCATAAACTTGCCAAACTCCATGTCCGAGAAATAGCGCATCTCCACGTAGTTCTTGATACTGGCCGCGTATTCCACACCGTCATACAGCGACGAGAAGTCTGGCTTCTCTGCCTCAGCATACCACGTGGGGCGCTCCTCGTACGACACGTGGCTGGAGATGGTGTAGTGCGTCAGGAAAAGCGGCTTCTTCGCTTCCCCCTTGGCCATACGCTGTCCCTGCTCTTTGGTCTTGTTGACCATGAGATCGCCCAGAATCTGGTAGCTGATGTCGTCGTGTACGCCCCAGTAAAGCTCGCGATGTTCCTTGCCAAACCACTGATCAGGAGTGATGCCCAGATCACTTTCCGCCAAATTGATCATTTCATCCCGCCCCCACACCGTATCGAAGCCGTGAGAGGGCAGGAACGTGTCCCAGTCGTCGTAGTCTGTTTTGCAGCCAGTCGTGAAGAAGGGCTCGTACCCTTTAGCTTTAAAGAGCTGCGGTAATCCGTCCAGTTGGTAGTTCTTCTTCCCGCCTGTCATCCCCGAATCTGCCACACTGTCGTAAGGAACCTGAGCAAACAGAAGACTCTCCACGGATCGACTAGTTCTCCAACTCGACCACATGTTGCCGAAGGCCACGCCACGCTTGGCCCATTTGTCAAAATTAGGCGTGACGGTGACGTTGCTGCCTCGGAACAGGTTTGACGGGTCTTCCTGCCCCACGAGGTAGTGCGAGTCGTGATACCGGAACGATTCCACCACGACAAGCAACACATTCGGCGGGTTTTCGTTCTCCACTTTGACGTCGAACGCGAGATCTCCGTGGAATCCAGTGGTGCGTCGATAGAGTGAATCCTCTCGAAACAGTTCATAGTCCTCTGTATCGGTATGGATGTACGTCTCGGCTGAGATGCTGCCGTTCGCAATCAAGGGCAAGAAACCCTGAGACGAGACAAACAGCGCGTGCATGAAGAGCTCATTCAGCGTCGCGTTCAGTGCCGCGTACGCCACCAGCGCTGAGCACGCCTGACTTAGCGCCAGCACCACAGCAGGCAGCAGCACCAGCGCCATGACAGCGACAACGGCCCTCACGCGTCGCCCGCACCATCTCGCGCTCTTCTGCTCCGTCTTGTCGTCCAGTACAGTCAGCGAGACCTCGTCCGCCTTGTCACTAGGGACGTTCTCCGTACCCAGAAACCCCGTCGTCTCCTCCTCCTCCAGTTTATCAGCTCGCTTCAGTCTCATCGCCACCACTCGAATAATCTCTTTCGTAGGACTCCAACTGGTCAGATCTGCCCAGTTATTGCTGGCTCGGACACAGGCAAAGACGGTAGCTGTAGCCACGGCCATAGCTGCACTGATATAAGCTTGATTCACTTCGGCGCTCGAAATCTCGGCGGCGCTGGCGTTATTCGACTCGTGGATGGCCATTTTCACTAAATCGAAGTTGAATCGCATGTCTCGGATGCGAACGAGCAGCTGATCGGCCACAAAGGGCACCGACATGAACGCAAAGAGCAGGAACGACGCAAAGAACCGCACGACTGTCGCTTTTTGTCGTGCTCTGCGCTGTCGTAGGTCACGAGGCTTCTGGATGCTCTCGTCTTCTTCGGCCTCGGCCTGTTGCTGCTGCTTGATCCAGCGATCGACACCCCACAGGGCAGCAGACAGGTACGTGGCGCACACGAGGTCTTGCAATGCGCCGAGTGCCACTGCGCCCACTTGCACATCCAGCGTCGCGTCCTTTTCAGTGCCGTACATGGTGATGAGACTGCGCAGAGTCAGCACGCGGTAGGCGCTGAAGAAGAGCAGCGTCGTGCAGTACACGAAGGCCCAGCCGGCGCAGCTCGGGGCGGGAAGCATTTTGGGCCTACGTCACGTGAAGCGCTTTGGAGACTGTCGACGGATTTGGAAGCGGTCGTGGGTACGTTTGCTGTTCGGACTGGCAGTTTGCAAGGCTGCGTATACAGTGTATACTGTATTAAAATGGCAAACGAAATCACCCCTGCCTATTTTTAGACAGCTGGCTGTTTCGTTTCGACGAAGGGTACAAAAGCGCGTGTCCCAGTCATGATCATGAGACGGGAGGCAAATACAATGGGTTCATCCATCAACAGTGTGGATGGAGCACCATTGTTGTACAGATACAATGGATCAGCAGTGTGGATGGAGCACCATTGCTGTACATGCACAGCCCTTGCTGCCATCAAGCCGCTGTACCAATGCGAGGTAAGTTAGGTACTTGTACATGTATCGTGTAGTTTTTGTCGTGAACGTTACGTTTCCGTCTGTACCATGCGTTCGGAGGAGTCCTGTCAGGGAGGACACGGGTAAACAACGAACCGATAATTTACGCATAGCCCGGAGTGTTTAGAATCGATCAGCGAGCGCTGAATCGTCAACGCTTCAGATTTTGTTTTTGAACTACGCACCATGCGAACAGCCTCGATGAAGAAACGCCACTCAGTTTTAAGTGTGTCTACAGAGGACTCGGATGCGTTAAGCTGAAACCGTTGAGTTGCGGCAGCAATAGTAAAAAAAAAGATTCAATCGACAAGATTGAATCCTTTTTTGTGAGAGGAAATAAATTCAAAGTGGAGTAGGATATAGTATCCAATGGATACTACAATAATATCCATGCACTTGCCGAGATTACTGGACGCTGCCTGAATCATCCCTTTGCCAACGTCAACAGGTGACAGTCGAAGACCATCGACACGTGTACCAGCAACCTGGATTTTCGACGCAGAATCATGCATTGATTATTCTCGAGAACAAACTAGATGTTCAGTACCAGTAGTACAGTACTTGAATCAAGTACGCTTTACGTTCAAATACGCGCATCAAACGCAAATACGACTTTCAACAATCTTCTCCTCATAAAAAACCGTCGATTCTACATGCTGCACTCTGCAGCTAGCAGACATTTGTTATCCCATCGAGCCGCAAAGTATGAGTTGAGCCACCGACCATTCTTCCTCCAGGCGAGCCATTTATCTTGCTCCTCCCTGCTCAGAGCTGAAAACTGATGGTTTGTCATGTCGTGGTCAGTGTGCACGTCATGAAGCAAAACCTCGTTCGAGTGGCGATCGTATTGCAGGCGTTTGTTGCCCCTTACAACCGACATTTTGTGGCTCGGATTGTTGCTGAACACGACACGCTCTCCAAATTCTACCTTGCGCTTGAGCGATCGTCCAACGCCATCTTGCAAGAATCCTCCCTCAGGTACACCGGTAATGTCAGCCAGTGTATTTAAAAGATCATACTGCTCGGCAGCGTCTTCAAGCTTGAGTCCGACGAATTCTCCGAGTCTTCCTTCTGCGACGAGAGCTCCTGCGACTCGAGTGGCTGACAAATCCCGTACTTCTGGTTTGTCATAGCCGTATTCAGGTGCTTGGCCATGATCTCCAGAGATAATAACGATGGTATCGTTGAGAATCCCTTCTTCAGCCATGCGATCCATAAATTTCCCAAGCTCCATGTCGGTAAAATACCGCATCTCGAGGTAATCTTTCACAAGGTACGTGTATTCTTCGTCGGCATAGAGTGCAGAGAAGTCCGGTTTGTCAGCTTCAGCATACCATTTGGGGCGCTCTTGGAACGGAATGTGGCTCGATATAGTGTAGTGCGTAAGAAACAGAGGTTTCTTGTCCTCACCCTGAGCCACACGCTCACTCTGCTCTTGTGTCTTGTTGACGAGTAGATCACCCAGAATCTGGAAACTCAAGTCGTCGTGGACGCCCCAGTAAAGGCCTCGCTGTGCCTCACCGTACCAGTCATCAGAGGAAATATTCAGATCCCTTTCGGCAATTTTCATCATTTCGTCGCGACTCCAAACGGTGTCAAACCCATGGGACGGTAGAAACGAGTTCCAGTCATCGTACTCCGTCTGACATCCAGTAGTGAAGAATGACTCGTATCCTTTGTCCTTGAAAAGCTGCGGCAGGCCAGCAAGCTCCACGTCCTCTTTCCCTCCCGTCTATCCCTGAGTGCTCCACGTTATCGTACGGTAACTGTGCAAACAAGAGGCTTTTCACTGAGCGGCTAGTGCGCCAACTGGACCAAAAATTGGTCAAAGCAACGCCACGTTTCGCCCACTTGTCAAAATTGGGTGTTATCGTGATATTCGACCCCTTGAAAAGGTTGGAAGGGTCGTCATCACCGACGAGATAACGCGAATCGTGGAACCGGAACGACTCCACTACGATGAGGAGAACGTTTGGAGGGTCGTCACTAGTGACATCGACATCGAAAGCCAGATCCCCAGTGAAGCCGGTAGTGCGTCGGTAGAGCGAGTCGTCATGAAAGAGCGTGTAGTTTTCGGTAGTCGATTGGATGTACGTCTCAACCCACGGCGTGCTTCCATCCGTTTCAATCGATAAGCCCAGGGAAGTATCGCCCAAAGCATGGGCGAATAACTCGTTTAGAGTCGCGTTTAGAGCTGAGTTAGCCACAATAGATGAGCATGCGCTAACTATCGCGATCACGAGGAGAGGGGCGAGGACGAGAGCGGTAAAAACGACAGCAACTTGACTTCCACGTCGATACAGCACTACCTTGCTGTCTTGGTAGTTGGTACTTGAGTAAGAAACATCAGTTGCCAAAGCACAGAAGCTCAAATTGCTAGGAGTGCTTCTACTGGAGTTCCTCCCCGACTCGTCGAGCTCCAACATGATTTCCGCGTTGTCGTCTTCTTCTTCTCCACCCCCACTGCTAGATTTCGTGGAGACTGACTGGAATCTGCGTTCTTTCCTTGCCAATCGTGCTTCCACAAGTGCAACGATGTCGTGGATTGGATTCCATCGCGAGAGCGTCGACCAGGACGTAAACGCTCGCACAGTAGCAAAGAGAGCAGCGACAACAGCTGTGATTGTCGCCGTCATGCACACGTCCTTCAACTCTCTGCTGGTCACCCCATCAAACGCCGAGTTTTCCTCGCTCGAAAGCGCTTGAAACGTGAAGCGAGCTTCTCGTAGACGCACGAGCATAAAATCGGTAGCAACGGGCCCCACCGCAAGTACGAACAGCATCCAGGAGCTCGAAAAGACAGAAATTTTCACCATTGCACGCTTCAGCTTGTCGTTTCGAGTGGCTCCCAGAGCACCATCATCCGTGGTAAAAGCCCCAAACGTTTGCAGCAACATGTCGACAAGCCACAGCACGCAAGCGAAATAAGTAGCGCAGATGAAATCTTCCAAGAAGCCAACGCATAGAATCGTCGTCTTCACGGAGAAGGTGCCGTCCTTGGAAGTTCCGTACATCTTGATCAACGCAGTGAGCGCCGCGCACCGGTAGATGCAGCAAAACAGCAGCACGGATGCGTAGGCGAAAGCCCACCCGAGCCAAGGACGAGTCCACAGTTGCCGAAACCACTCAATGGACCACAGGGAGGGCCGCGAAATGTCGACCTCGGACACGGACCGACTTTCCTCAAGAACGACCATCTCGGTCTTCATCATTAAGCGCAAATTAATTTGTGAGCCACCGTCGCATTTATTAATCGCTCTAGCGCTCAGATGCGTCGTCATGGGATCCTTCCACAACTTTAATTTCTCGCAACGCACATCTTTTCACGGACGGTTACCCCAAGATCAAAGTGCAGAGCGCACGACATCGGTTTTAGTTCTACCTGCAGTGCTCTCTGCATCAGAGATGAGGCTCGGAATGCGCGGACCAGATTCGGTCAAGTGCGAGCTCCAACTAGACCTGACTCAAAGGAGTGAGGCTCAATAGCTAATGAACACGTACGCCTGTAAGAAGTTCGCTTCCGACGACGCGGGAGAAAGCTCATTGTGTGCTCGTCATCGTGCTTGTCTTCACGAACAGAAAAAAAAATTGATACATGCTGCAGTCATAACCGTAACGGTTACAGTTTACTGTTATTAATACCTCCGTGTTTAATACCCATCGCAACAGTGTACAGTATTAATAACGAGAGCTGTAGCCAAATCATGTGGCAACCAGATGTGCCCAGAAAGTTGGTGACTTGGTCTTCCTCGTCGAGTTGAAAAGTTCCGGCGTTTTTCCTCGATTCCTGGTCATGAGCAACCTGCCCACAGTGATTGATTTCCCTTGACCCGCATTGAAGCCCATGCACAACTCAACTGACGGTGGTGCTGGAGGAGAGGCCACCCGTATCGGATACCTCCAAGATCAAAGGACCTTTCAACATGATCCGAGTCGTCAAGGAATCGTCACTTTGGAGTCGGCGATGGCTCGGCTGGGTGTTCGTCTACACCTTCGTGCTGCTCTTCTTCTTCATCTACCGGTGCATCGGTCTCAAACCGTTGATCCTGATGTACGGGACCGAAAGGGACTGTACTCCAGGAGTCGAAGCTGCTGCGTTGGCACTCGGATTCCTCGAAGACTTCGTGTGTGCAACGTACTTTGCGTGTGCCCTTTGGGTGTTCGACACGGTGAAGCACATGGTCGGTCATCGGGTCGGTGATCAAATGCCGATAGCGTCACAGATTTGTGATAAAGTCTCGACGTTTCTGGTGTCGTGGCTTCTTTTCGTCGCCATGACAGGACCATTCGTGGCGGATCTGCTCATCGTAAGACTTCGCGGTATGCGATTCACGTTCGAATTGGTCGCCATGGCGATTCACGAGAAAGATAACGCCAGCAGCGCGTCCATTTCTCAATCAGAGATGAAGGAAGCGTACGTGAACGTGGCTGGTATGGTGATAGTAGCGACACCCTTCTCGACCACTCGTGTCTGGGCGGTTTGGACGGATCTTTCGCGTTGGAATCCCGCATTTGCATTGATGGATCTAGCAACGCAACGAAGCTCGGGAGCTCAGAAGAGCGACGACAGCTGTGCACAGAAGGCGAAGGGGGATCAAGGAGAGGCGAATCTGGAAGCTGGAGAGAGCACGCAGTACCTCGTGTCGACGTCACCGAGCAGTGACGCGTCCACCGACACGTCGTTACCTCCAGAGAATCCTCAATTCGATCGGTTGACGCTCTTCAGACTCTGTGCGTTGCTCGTGCTGCTGGCACTCGGTCTCATTATTGTACCCATCCTTGTACTCGCTATAAGCCATGGGTGTTCATCCCTTGTGGCTTATTCAGGACTCAACGCAACGCTCAACGAGTTATTCGTCCGTGGCGTTGATGCCACCACACAAGGCTTCGCACCTTCAGTTGCCGACGGGACTATTGAGAGTGCCACGATCTACATTCACTCAGCTACAGAGAACTACACTCTGTTCCAGAACGACTCGCTTTACCGACGCACTACCGGTTTCCACGGAGAGCTGGCCTTCGACGTGAACGTCTCTGAGGAAGACCCTCTTAACGTTATTCTCATCGTGGTAGAATCCTTCCGATTTCACGACTCCCACTACCTGGTGGGGGCCGACGATCCGTCCAACTTGTTCAAGGGAAGCAACATCACAGTCACCCCAAACTTCGATAGATGGGCGAAACGTGGGGTGTCGTTCAGTAACATGTGGTCAAGCTGGCGGACAAGTCGATCAGTGGAGAGTTTACTCTTCGCCCAGCTGCCATACGACAGTGTGGCTGACTCAGGAATGACTGGAGGCAAGGAGGATGTCGAGCTCTCCGGTCTGCCACAGCTCTTCAAGGCTAAAGGGTACGACCCTTTCTTCACTACTGGGTGCAAGACTGACTACGATGATTGGGACACGTTCCTGCCTGCACACGGCTTCGATACTGTTTGGAGTCGCGACGAGATGATGGAGCTGGCGGAAGGATCCCTTAACATCTCGTCTGATGAATGGTATGGAGACGCTCATCGAGGCTTTGGCTGGGGGGTACACGACGACCTGAGCTTCCAGTTACTCGGAGATCTACTCATCAACAAGACAGTCGAGCAAACCGAGCGAGTGGCTCGAGGGGAGGCCAAGAAACCGCTCTTTGTGAGCCACTATACCATCTCCAGCCACACTCCGTTCAAAGACCGCCCTACCTGGTACGCTGAAGCCATGAAACCCGATTTCTCTGCACTCTATGAAGACGAAAAGTACGCCAATGTTGTCCAGGCTTATTTAGAGATGCGATACTTTACAGACATGCAACTCGGTAAATTCCTCGACCGCATGGCTGACAAAGGGATTCTCAACGACACTATCGTAGTCATTGTAGGAGACCACGGACAGGGACCAGAAGACGGTCTGGATGTCCCCGAAGCTCGTGAAATATCAGCTACCAGAGTTGCTGGAACTATTATTGCTGAAGGACGACTGGGTGACGCGGTGGGGCTCATGATACAAGATGCGGTGGAGCAGTACGATATGCTCAATACACTGGCAGACATCACTGGCGTCCCCGAAGGAGGCTTCTTGCAAGACGGCATTGGGCGCTCACTCAAACGCAACGCCACATTTGGAGAGCGCGTCGTATACAGTAACAACCCTAGTCGGAAGATGTCCGTGGTGCGTGGTCATGAACGACTGCGCTACGATCGCTACTCGAACTCTGTTCTTCTCCACAATGCTGACACGGATCACGAAATGGAGAATGATCAGTTCCTCGCTCTTAGCCTCAAGGACAAGACGGACTGGAGAACGAGACGCGACGATGGTCGTCGCTTAAACGCCTACTATTCGAAGCGCTGGGACAACAAGTGCTTACTCGCTGGGGAGTGCTAGAGGAGGAAGAACTGGCCTCTTAGATTTTATTTTCCAGTTATTAAAGTTTTCTTCTTTTGACATCAGAAGAGAAGAGAGGCTACAATTGATTTACCAGTGCTGAAGTTAGCCTCTCTCACGTCTGTCGCATGACACCCGCCATGTACTGTATCAATGCCGGGGTAAGATATACCACTGGCACTGGAGTCCAGTCTGGACGCGGTTGCTATAGTTGTACCATCGATTCTGGGCAAAATAATGATTCGGCACTGCAAAGCTTGCAGTGCAAAGTGTGCCGCGCAATAGCTTCAAAATCCGGTGTTTTCGTTTGTAGCGTAACACTGCACACGCAAAAAAACGTGTGGGCGACGGGGGGAAATACCATAATCCACTGGATATCCACCGGATTATTATAAATCCAGTACTAAAGTACTGGATTGTAATAGCCCTTTCCAAAATACAGTACAGTCGAAAGCCGTTAAGTACGCAAAAGGACCAAGCGAACTTATCCAATTGGATTTCTAGGATTACCAGTAGAATGCTTTGGTTTGTGAGCTTATGTCTCGTTTAGAGCTTCGATCTCAATTCGACCTCAACCTCTTTGCCTCAAAAGCCAAAGAATTTATAGAAGCTGATTTGAGCCCCGGTCATGATTAATTCTCAAAACTTAGGTTTAAGCTGTGAGCGTACATGTAGCACTATTGGCAGTTTTACAGGAATAACAGGCGCCTCAAATGCATGTTTTTTATAATTTGTTAGCTCTGCTGAATCTGGCAGCTGAAACCAGTTACAGAACCGATATAAAAAGACGCTCGCATCGGGTTCAATTTGGGAACCTTGATAAAGCAGGCGTGATATGCTTCAGTCGATGCGTAGATTGTCGTTGTTTTAAAAAAAACGCAAGACCGCGTATTTGTACGATCGACAGTGTTTCTTACTCCAACTACAGTATCAGTATTTCAAGATCGAAATTAGCTTAACTGGCATGCAAGAGTGTGGAGCCCGTCTAAACTGCAGCCTGCGAAAAAGATTAGATAAGTTGTCCAAAAACTGGAGAGTGAGATTCATCCTGTTAGCCATAAGCTTACGCTAATTAATAGGTACCACGAAGAGGAAATGATGAAGAACCTTATCCTCAGCTCAAAGATCCGTTTCGCTATAGTTGCCGCGCATAGTTTCTCTTTTCAATAAACTAGGTGGCTGTAATAATAAACCGAGCCTCTATAAGCAGCCGTACAAATATAGGTTAATGACTTAAAGTTATCCAAAGTTACTAAGCTTGCAATTAACCCAAGCTTTATTAAGGTGATCAGTAGCTCTAATCGTCGAAGATGGCTACACAAGCCTTATAAATAACTTGCAGGCCCAGCTGCTTGTTGCATGATGCTGGAACGATATATCGGACGCAAATGCGCTACACTCCTGCACGCAGCAAACTACCTCAAGTTTTTAATGATACCGTTTATTTTATATTAGCTAGTCATAATAACGGGTTGTCGCGCTGAAAAAGAATTAGTTTGGATACCTACAGCTGCAATTATCACTTTCCTGCCGGTCGAGAGTGACTCTACGTATGCGGACACCAATTTTTGCCGCAGACTTACAAAACTGAGTCTAGCGCGCGTAATTTGGCAACGCGATAACGTACTACCTACTGTACTTTTGACGAAAGGCTCGCTCAACGAAAGTTTTTTTTTTTAACTTTTTAAGTTCGGTGTGCGAACTTAATAATTTGGCGACAGAAGCTGCATTTTCTACTGGCCTCCAGGACAGCCCAGTACTTTTCTACTAGATTATGGTAATTCCTCGGGCGACGTACAGTACATGAAAAGCGTACCGTCAACACCAGCAGGCAGCCAGACTGTACATCTATCCCTTTGCTGAGCAAAGGAATAGATGTCAATGTCCTGGCTCAAAAATCATCCTTATCCCGAGGAGCTGTTCACCATCAGAAACTCGATCGTCAACTCCACGACTGTGGATCTCCAATTCTCTCGGTTAACGTCATTGTGCATTTGTCGGTGTTGGGGCCCCACCGAGAGAATCGGCTTCGAGCAACACGGTCAAGGTTACGATGGCTCCCAACGCGCCCACGTCAACTCGGGACACGATCCAAGCTGACGTTGCCGTCGACTCTCGTGTCAAGGACGAGGTCGTGTCCAAGGCTTCTCAGGCGAGTCGACTGAGTGCATTGGTGCAGACAATCGAAGAACGAGGTTATCCGTGGCTCGGCTGGGCTTTCGCCTACACCTTTACACTATTTTTTCTGTTCGTTTACCGCTGCATCGGATTGGGTGCGCTGATTTCCATGTACGCTAGCGCTGACGATGGCACTCTGGCGGTGGTGCTCGGAGCCTTGACGCTGGGGTTCTGGGAAGATTTCGTCTGTGTCACGTACTTGGCGTGTATCCTCTGGCTGTTCGACAAGCTCAAGCCCACAGTAGCCAAGCGCTTCGCTCGGCACGACGGAGCAGCTATTCGAGTTGCTGGCAGAGTGGCTACATTTTCAGTATCATGGCTGCTCTTCGTGGCGTTCACAATTCCGGTCGTAGCTGACGTTCTCATTGTGCGTCTGCGGGACATGCGCTTCACCTTCGACATCATCGTGATGGCCATCCAGGAGAAAGACAATGCCAGCTCGTTCGAAGTATCGAGCGAAGAGATCACCGACGCCTGTGTCAACGCCATCGCTCTCGTTCTGGCTGCGACATTCTTCGCCTTTGTGCGTACAAGAGCTTCGTGGGCAGACCTCGCAAGGTGGAACCCGACCCACATCGCATTGTCTCTAAGTACTTCGTATGCTTACGATATCTTGCGTTTGACTGGTAGCACCAAGAATCAGCTCAACTCGAGCGACACCAAAGCTCAAGACCCCACGGAAGATGTTGAGCTGTCGACACTGAAAAAGACCCAGAAAGCTGACGACAAAGACACCAAGACTTCGCGCTATGTGACAGTTGATATCGACACGTCTGAGATGGAGACCACGTCATCGGCAGACGACGATAACGACACGACCCAATGCCTACACAATGAGGACCCTCAGCGAGTGGACAAACGTCGCTATCTTAAAAAAAGTGTCATCGCATTTGTCGGTCTGGTTCTGCTCCCTTTGCTGATCATCGCAGTGAGTTGCGCGTGCTCTCCTCTCGTCGCCTACTCGGCACTGAACACGACACTCAACGAAATATTCGGCCATGCTTTCCAGCCAGATGTTGACGGTAGCACCTCTGCCATCGACGAAAAAGACCTCCCATGGGTCGAGACGTACATCCACCATGCAACGGAGAGTCACGAGTTATTCGGGAATGACACACTCTACCGACGCACCACCGGGTTCCAAGGGGATCTCGCTTTTGACGTCAAAGTTAACAAGAAGAACCCACCGAACGTTCTCCTCTTGGTGATCGAATCCTTCCGATACCACGACTCGCACTACCTCGTAGGGGACGAAGATCCGTCCAACCTCTTCAAAGGCAGCGACATGACAATCACTCCCAACTTTGACAAGTGGGCGAAGCGTGGTATCGCGTTACGGAACTACTGGTCCAGTTGGCGCACGAGTCGGTCGGTGGAGAGCTTACTGTTCGCCCAACTTCCCTATGACCACGTCACCAAGTCCGGTATGACTGGCGGGCAACATGAGACCAATTTGTCGGGTCTACCGCAGCTCTTTACGGCGAAGGGATACGAGACTTTCTTCACGACAGGATGCAGAACGAACTACGACAGTTGGGACTCGTTCCTTCCAGCTCATGGCTTCGATACTGTCTGGAGTCGCAACGAGATGATGGCACTCGCTCAAAGCGACTTGGGGATCAAGCCTGGCGACTGGAAAGGACCGGAACACCGAGCACTCAACTGGGGCGTGCACGACGATTTGAGTTTCCAGCTTCTGGGTGATTTATTCGTGAACAAGACCAAGGCGCAAGCGAAGCGAGTAGCCAATGGAGAAGCGAAGAAGCCGCTATTCCTGACTCACTACACCATTTCTAGCCACGTCAACTATCAGCAGCGACCCAAATGGTACGACGAGTCCAAGAAACCCGATTTTTCGGCTTTGTACGAAGGCCAAAAGTATGCCGACAACATCAAAAACTACCTCGAAATCCGGTATTTTACCGACATGGAGTTCGGTAAATTCATGGATCGCATGGCTGAGGCTGGTATTCTTAATGATACCGTTGTGGTGATCTCCGGAGATCACGGCCAGGGCCCCGAGTTCGGTAATGACGTCCCTGAAGATCGCGATGTTTCTGCTACTCGAGTGGCTGGCGCAATAGTCGCCGAAGGACGATTGGGTGACGCTGTGGGGATGGTCATGGACGACGCCACGGAGCAGTACGACATCCTGAACACACTGGCGGATATTACAGGCGTTCCAGAGGGAGGCTTCGAGCAAGACGGTGTGGGTCGGTCACTTAAGCGCAAGGTTAAATTCGGGAAGAGAGTCGTGTACAGCAACAATCCGACACGAAAAATGTCGGTAGTGCGAGGACACGAGCGACTGCGGTATGATAAGGTGACGGACTCGATGCTGCTGCACAATCCCGATACGGATCACGACATGAAGAACGATCTACTGCCTACTCTGACGCAAGAAGAACGCGCCGACTGGATTAGCTGGCGCGATGCCGGACGTCGTATCAACTCTTACTACACAAAGCGCTGGGAAGGCAAGTGCTTGCTTGCTGCAGAGTGTTCGTAGATACGAGCGAAGAGTAAGCGGATAGAAATAGAAATGATACTTTATTGTCAAAACTTTAAGCTGGATCTGAACGGCACTTTGACATTAATTATTGCAGTTTTTCAAGTCTTAGCTTAGAGTACACTGATGATTGCTTCGACCACCCCTGCTCCCAGCATCACAGAACCTAGGAGCATCATTCCACATAGGAAAACCTGGCGCAACCGGTTTCCACACGTTGAGGGCTCGTCACTAAACAGACGCAGGTGGAAGAATGCAGGCAGGATAAAAGCCAATAACGAGCAGCACGTCGAGCCGATGAACGAAATAAATCGACCAAAATCTACAGCGCAATCAACGAGTTACTTAGCCATATTCACTAACGTTACCGACCAGGGACTTCTTACCTGGAACACCGGCAGCGATCACCGCAGTGAGCAGCACAACTCCAGCGCGGAGAACAATTCCCTTTTTCTGAGTCGTTTGTGGGTTCTCAAGCTTGTTACCACACGCCACCATTGGCTGTAGCACCTCAAAGACCGGGAACAGCATCACGGGGTACGTGAAGAAGAGTCCCAAACACAGGAAAACCTTAACGAGCGTGACCAAGCCGCCGCTTCCCTCGAAATTAAGCGTGATAACCGCGTCTGTGTCGTTACCGAAGGCCAGATATCCGCAGATACCGAACGTGGCGTACAGCGACGTGATGATCACGACTGTGCACACGAGAATCGGCATGAAGTTGTGCTTGTTGCGCATCGAATTCTCCAGCGGCAACACCATTCCCACCCCTTCGAAACAGTAACTCGCCACTCCGAAGAAGAACGGAATGGCAGACACCACGCCTATAGGCTCAATGTAGTCGTGATTTATATCCATGTAGCCCAAATCGATGTTGAGCACCACCAGCAGCCCAAGGATGCACATGAAATCAGCGAGGAGCGCCACATAGGCCAACTCCCTCATGTGCCTTAGTAAAGTAAACCCAATAAGCGGCGGCACACACACCGAAACGACCAATTGTTTCGATACGTCCAGGAATTTGTGCGCATTGGATGCGATAAAAATCAAATCTGCACGAAAAGAAAAATAAATAATTACCATCGAATAAACTACAAAACGTAAAATGGCAGAAATCTTACAAGCGATGCAGAATCCAGTCTGCGAGATGACGAGAGCGGTGTTGACAATGGCTGAACCCATTTGACCCATCGCAAAGTATCCGATCTCTCCATACTTGGTGACAGTCTTGCCCTGTTGCTTCAGTTTGTATTTGCATTGCACCACGAGCATCATGGCGTACGTGCTCACTGCAGCTACTCCAACTAGCGTCACAAAACCCACCTAGAAAAAAAAAATGTCAGTGATCATTTAATCGCAATGGCGGCAATAATTGTTGCCATTTCGCACCAAAATGCCGCATTTGCGGAATGCGTAGGGCAAGCCCAACACTCCGGAGCCGAGGAAGGCGATGCAAGTGTTGATAAAACTCTTCAAGTCACTGCAAAGAAAAGATTTCATAACCCAATTAGTCAGTCATTACACTTTCCCCCTCTACTTTGCATAGTGATGCAACAACGCACGAGGTGAGATGAAGTGCTGCCTCTGCATGCTCGTGTGTCCCCGGGCTCTCGAGACGCTTGGGCACCGCGTTGCTTACGTCATCGCCCACACGAACACTGAAGCTGGAAGTGGTGGAGCACGTATCAGATTGGCTATCGAGGTCGACGGCTTCCAGGTCAGCAGGCTCCTGTAGTGCCGGCACGTCGACAGAGGAGGCTGCCATCTTCGATAGTGACGTTGTAAATGGAGAAATCCATTAAAGTGCGATTATTACCCTTTGAAGCAGATGGCTACAGAATGCTTATTAGAATGCTTTTTATTTAAAGGCAATTTCATTACTGTAACGTTAGATTCGGTAATACTGTACAACTTCCAAGGTGGAAGTCCTGTACAGTTACAGTGAAGTTTATTAAGGCGGCCTCGGGTGACTCAGGAAGATTCACCTGAAATTTGGCGACGAGAAGAAAATGGTGCTACATGTAGGCTAGACGAGAAGAAAATGGTGCTACTGTACATGTAGCCTACATGTACATTATTTTAATGCAAAATGTATGGGAGCTCGAGCGTGGGAAATTTTTTTTTGCCTTCGCACTTTAATACTACAGTGCTGGCGGTTAGTAAACTGCCACCCTTGTTTTTCGATAGATTTTATCCAATGCGAGGTTTTTCTGCACGTTCTTGGGACCAATGAAAAGCGCGCAGTAAACCGAAGCGGACGCCACTCGATTCAGGTAAATCGGCCATTTCCTCCCCTCACCACAGAAAAAAAACGCCTCCCTTGCTTGAGGAGGCTGGCGGTTAGTATACTGCCGGTGCGTACTTTGCAGCTAAGGACGCGTTGTTTTGGCGTGTTCTTCTAATATAACGATGCCCAGCACCATACAAGTGTACTAACATACGTTTGTGCATGTAAAGATACTACTAGCATGCCTAGAGGAACCAAGCTCACCCAAGAAGAGCAGCATCGTATAATAGTATTTCGCGAGGCAGGGCTAAGCGAGCGAGCAATAGCGCAGCGCGTACGTCGCTCTCGACCAGTTGTACACGCACTCCTAACCGATCCAAAAGGCTACACGAAATCTAAAAGACCCGGACAACCCAAGAAGTTGACACCGACAGCTCACCGCCGACTGCTCCGTGAAGCTTCGAAAGGCAAGCTGAGCTCTGCGGAGCTCAAAATGGCCTTAGAGCTACCGGTAAGTACACGGAGGATCCGTGAAATCCTACAAGCCGACCCTAACATGAAATATGAAAAGCGTAAAGCTTCCCCCGTGCTAACAAAGAAGCACAAGGAGGCTCGTCTCAAATGGGCTCGTGACAAGGTGACATGGAGTGAGGAAAAATGGGGAGCCTGCGTCTTTTCAGATGAAAAGAAGTTCAATCTCGATGGACCGGATTGTATGCAGTACTATTGGCACGATTTACGCCGCGAGCCTGAAGTCTACTCTACTCGCCAAAGTGGTGGTGGGAGTGTCATGGTCTGGGCTGCATTTTGTGCTAGTGGTAAGTCTGAACTGGTGATTTTGGAGGGCAATCAAAACAGCGAGCGGTACATTTACACGCTCTCTGAACATTTGCTGCCTTTCATTGACCGAGTGTACGGTCGGGACTGCATTTTTCAGCAGGACAACGCGTCCATTCACTCCTCCTCCGCCACGAAGGCGTTATTGAAGGAGGAAAAGGTCAATGTGATGGACTGGCCAGCCAAGTCACCGGATCTTAATCCCATCGAAAACATGTGGGGAGTACTCGCGCGTGCCGTCTACGCTCAAGGACGGCAGTTTCAGACGAGAGAAGACCTCATTAAAACAATTCAGGCATCTTGGGCGACGATCGGACACGAACTCATTAAAAAGCTGATTCAGTCGATGCCGAGGCGCTGCATCGCTACGCTAGAGCGTCACGGTGCTAAGACGAAGTACTGAACCGAATACTAGCGTCTAACTAGCTGTAGATATCCCTTTAGTCGAATTGGCAGTATAGTAACCGCCAACGAGGCCAACTTCAACTTCACCTTTTTCACGATTGCAGCAAGCCTACTTGGCCGATTGACCTGCGTCGAGTGGCGTCCGCTTCGGTTTACTGCGCGCTTTTCATTAGTCAAATCCATGTACAATAAAGCCTCCTATCGGATAAAATCTGTCAGAAAACAAGGGTGGCAGTTTACTAACCGCCAGCACTGTATTATAGTTTTTGTGAGTATAGGCCATCCATCACATACATGTATGTGGTTTCAATTAACGTTAATGGTCATTATGCATGGACGGGTTTCTCAGATTCAAATGCGTAATGAATGGGAGCCTCGAAATTTGAATTGCGATTAATGCCATTATCAAGAGCCCTGCATCTAGCCTGGCAAAACGTGTTGAAGTGGTCGACAAAATACAGTAATCAGTGATCCGCTGGTTGACATGAGCACCCACACGCGTTAAACCAACAAAAGGCTCCGAAGTGAGCGCTGCCCTCTTCCGGGGCCCGCTCAAGTCCAACCAGGAGAGGACCACTGCGAATTTGGTCCGCCGCGGGCTTCACGCGGTTCACTTTTTAATTCGCTTCATCAGACACAACAGCTCTACTAAAAAACATGGGTGTTGCCTCGACCGTCACGCAGGAGCACGTGGACACTGTGAAAAAGTATGTCGCGCTGCGTCTCGAAAAGCGCACTAAGGAGACTCTGCAACTTGTGAGCGATGGCATCCAGTTCTACAGCCAACGTGACGGTTGCTACCAGGGCAAAGAGCAATTCCAACAGTACCTGGAGAAGACTAAGTGGGAGCCGCCGGCCATCGAGGACGGCGACGATGAGCACGTGATCGTTCGTGGTGTAGTCAAGATCTTTTACATCCCCATCTCGGTCAAGTCGACCTTCTCCTTCAGCAGCGAGGGCCTCATCTGCAATATTCACACAAGCAAGGCGTAAACCAGGCTAACCCTCGACAACGTCGGTCTCCCCTAAACTTAAAAAAAAGTTTTATGATAACGGAGCTCTTTAGCATTTTCATTCGTATTTAAAGTGACGATCACGGTAGTCAAATTGATACCGTTTAGCCTCCCATACATCGGCCCAATCATTAAGGAAGAGCGAGCGTCGCGCCACCGCAGCCTGCAGCATTTCAGACCCTTTGAGCCCCATTTCCTGCCAGCTGAGACGTTGATCCATCGCATCTCCATGACGCAGGACGCGTCGGCGCGTCCCAAGAGCCCGAAGAGTCCGAAGAACCTGGAGCTGTTCGGCAAGTTGCACTTGGGCATGGACCACGTTCTATCCAAGCTGCTGCCGGACGCGCCACCGCTCCCGGATGCGCTCAAACTGCAGACCGAGACGCAGTCGGTCGCCACGACGTGGGTGCAGATCACTGAGGTGTTCGAGAAGCGCAAAACGATGCTGCAACGTCGTAAGGAGAAAAGCAAGAGCAAAAGCAAGAATTCTGCCACCAAAACGAAGAAGAAACTCAAAGAAAAAGAGCCCGAGAAAAGATCAACGACTAAAACAACAAAGAAGAGCAAAAGCCGCAGCTCGAGCGCGTCTCCACGCAGTGCAAAGAGCTCCGAAAAGGTCAAAACGACCAAGAAAGCCTCCAGCAAGAAATCGATCCGTTCAAAGACAGAGAGCGACGTTGCAGAGGTGAAATCGGAGGAGCAGCTGAGCTCATACGACAAATCTGTGCTCAAAAGGCTCCGCAAGCTGCCGATGTGTCAGAACGTGGAGGTGGGCACCAATAAGTACAGGGCGATAGCCATGTGGATGGAGCTGGACAAGGGTAAGAACTCTGCCACCTCTGCGAACTTGATGGAGTTGCTGACCAAACTGCAACTTGAAGCAGCGTCGGGCAAGCAGAACAAACCAAAACTGAGTCGCAAACGCTCGCCGGAGTCGTTGGATGATGCGCTGCGAGCGGAGAAGAGCAGCAAGCGGAAGGCGTTGGCGAGAGAGCGGAGACGGAGCAGACAGGAGTCGTTCGTGGATGAAGATGAGGTTGTCTACGAGTCTGGAGACGAGGAAGAGGAGGCGGAGTACAAAGGAGGATACTCCGATTCAGATGAAGCAGAATTTATGCCCGAGTTGGAGAACAGTCCACCGCCGGAAAGGCTCAAGAAGCGCAGGACGTCGAAGAAGCAGAAGCAGGAAGCAGTCAAGCAAGAGAAGACTGCGGCGGATACGACGCAACTTTCCTCCAAGGACCAGCTAGCTGCAGTAGTAGCGAAGATCCGGGCAGACGATGTGGTCTCAGGGAAGACGGACCCCAAGTATTTATCCTACGAGAAGAAAGGCGCGCCTGGCTCTTCTTCGGTCTCTGCGATCGAGTTGGATGATAGCGAGGAGGAGGAAGAAGGAGAGGAGCAAGAAGAAGAAGAAGAAGAAGAAGAAGAGACCAAGGGTCAGGACTCGTCCACTGACGACGAGAATGGCATGTTCGACCTGAACGAGGAAGACGTGTATATCGTCGAGGCAATTTTATGCGTCAAGGAAGGACGATCCATCATGTCGGCGGGACGACGTCAGCAGAAGGAGATGGATCTGTACCTCGTCAAGTGGGATGGCTACAACGAGCTCACGTGGGAGCCGGAGGAGAACATCCCGCAGCGCCTCATTGAGATGTTCCGAGAGCGCGAACGTGCCAAGCGAGCGTGTCAGTACCAGATCAAGGTGGCGCATGAACGCCGAGAGGTGATCAACGTGACGACGCAACAGAGAGAAGTGCTGTACATGATCCAGTGGATCAACCAGGAGAGCGCCGTGTGGGAATCGCGGTCGACGCTCCCAAGCAAGACGCAAGTGTGGCTGGACAAGGTGCTGGGGGCGCCTGCTGCCAAGAAGCGCCGAGAGACGAAAGTCGTCAAGCAGTATATCTATCACTAGCAGCAGTGGCGGGAGAGCTGCGTCACCAAAAGTGAACAAGTACAAAATGAAAATGAATCAAAGTCTTGTGAGTAATTGACGCCGGTGTTTGCGGCTTTGGACACGGCTGGTAAGTAGGCAGAGGAGGGACACACTTGTTGTTGCCGTGCTCTGTGCTTCTTTATACGATACGGTCCAGTTCCGTCGCGTACGCAAGCGTCTCGCCCACTAGTCTCAACGAAGGAATGTCCGAGGCGCCGAGAGATTTCTCTGGTGCCTTGAACCACACGCGACCTTCGCGTACGACCCACTCGGTCTTCTCCTCCTTAATGTACGCGCTCAACTCAGCAGCCGAGTCGAAGATGAGCATCTTCTGCGCGTCTGTGAGTGAGAGACACTGGTAGGCCACCTCCGCGCAGTCGGCGATGTTCTCACGCACCGTCTGCAGCAAATGTGAGAGGAAGAAGGGGAAGTACGCGTTGGGCACATTGGTGCGCGACTCCAGCACCTTGTTGTACGTTCCTTCCATCAGATATTGCTCCAGCTTTACGGCGAAGGCGATGTTCGGGTCCTGGCGACTCTGCTCGGGGAGCAGCTCCAGCTCGTTGTGGAACTCGGCCATGCGGTTCTCCACTAGCAACTGCAGCAGCCTCGTGCCCAGGATCGGATAGTGCAGAGGCGACGGCTCCAGTCCGCTGTTAAAGTAGACCTTGAGCTGGATCATACTACGCTCGAAGGCTGTCATGTCCTCGCGGAGGATGCTCAGCAAAGTGGCGCTCTCCAAAACGTGACCTACAGGGAGAGCAGATCAGCACAATACACTCGAACAGCAGTAGTTGCAGGCTTGTAAACCACGTACGCGCAAGCTGGAGCTCCTGCTTAGCAGTTGGAGAGTCAACGCCGCAGGGAGGTAGCGCTGGTAACGTCGTTAGTGCCGTCTGAACGTCGAAAAAAGAACGTCGCATTAGTTTGAGATTGGGAGGACATTATCTGCGGTAGAGCACCTTGAGCTGTGCGAGGAGCTTAGTGGCCTCGTCCACTTGCTTGCCATCAACGGCGGCGCGAAGCACCTGCGCTTCCTTGTCGAGAGCCTCGAGATTAGCCGACATCGTCACCTAGGGGTACTGTATTGATCTTTGAGGGAATCTTCGGGTTGACTGTCACTCAAATGGGGGACTGAATGTGTCATATGACATCTACTTAAGGGTTGACAGAATTTATTAAACCCTTGCCTAGCTCCAACAATGCTCAGCAACAGCATTGCAGCATTTACCACTTGTTAATCTTTATCGTAAGCCGTGATCTGTTCGACCAACTTCTGCACGGGGACGAGACTCGCATCGTGAGTGAAGACAACGTCATATAGGTCGAGATATTCGTCCAGTTTCTCATCCACGTGCACGTTCAGGAAGCCGACGCGGATGATTTCATTTGTGCTCAAACCTTCGGCCATTCGAGCGTCGCCCTGGGAGTCTCCAAGCAGCAACACATTGCGACGCTTTCCCAGCTGACGTTCCTTCCAGAATGGCGAGTCGACCAGCACGCGCGCAGTTTTGTTCAGCGAGTGGATGAGCTTTCCCTCGAAGCCTTCGATGACTCCCCCGGCGTCAAACCGCATCATGTTGGACACCACGCGCACGTTGCTTGGCGTAAATGTCTGGTTCCTCGACTGTGCTCCTCCACTCCGCTTACACTCAGCAGCAAATTCCTGTTCTAGTGCAGCGTGAATGACGTCATAGAGTCCAGCCGAGAAAACGAGCGTAGGCACTTGCAGGTCATTCAGCAGCTTGAAAAGTGGGTGGAAGCCTTGACGGAAGCTTAACGAGCCGAGAGCAACGGCTTGATCCACCTGCTTCTTCGTCAACTTGTACTCAACCAGCAGCGCGTGTGCACTGTTCCACCATTGCTCCATGAACGGCAGCTTCTCTGCAGCAGACAGTGTCGGTGACATCTCCACTGGGTAGAACTTTGCAAAGAGTTCTTGCTCCCCTGCACACACCTGTGGCTGCAGCACACTGCTGGTCATGAGCAGTCCGTGGCTGCTGCTTTCCTGCTCTAGTGGAGTCTTGGGATCCCTACGTTGCTTGTAATATGGTGTCAATGTTCGGTCGAAGTCGGCGATCACCAGCAACTGGCCCGCTCCATCCTGCGTGAACCTTTTCATTTTGCGAGCGAACACATCTGGCAGCATTGGCAGCGTTATCATCTGTTACCGGAACAATACATTCACTGGTACACAATACTATCCTACCTGGGTTTCCGATGATCATTCGAGGAGAACGGCGTTGGTGGCCGTCGCTGTAAGAATGCGCATTAACAGAAGGACTCGCATCGACTTCAGAGCACAGGGTTATTGACCTGGACGCCAAAGTCGACCCGCTTGTCACCGCACATAGCGACAGGAGCCTGAAGCGAGGCGAGACAGATCGACGCCACGCCATGCTCGATTTTTAAAAATTACGTGCCCTATTATAAAGAGGTCGCAACTTAGGAGGCCACGAAAGGGTTAATATCGTTAGAAAAAGTGCTTTTTGCAACCACTAATAATTACCTGTACTTTATTAATACCACTTCTGGTAAATTACAGGTGTGCTTTTACCCCTCTTAATACCATTTTCGACAGATACATGTGCAGCGTTAGACAAATCAACGTCACCGCGGTGTTACTGGTATTGAGTCAATAATACTGACGTTGATTTATCTGTAGCTGACGTGGTTCAATAATCATTTGCTCGTCATTGCATTCCGTCCACCACGACGTATCTAGATTCCTCGAGTATCAGAGAAAGATTACCCCGTAGTGTCCTAAGTTGCTGCCTAGAAGTTACGCAGGAACCTGTTTTATATGTGTCATTGTGGAGCGCCAGCGAGTAGTGTTTTCAATAGCGAAGACTTCCAACGAACATTTTGAAACTAATGGAATTTTTAACCCCCCCCCTATCCGGAGAAGGCATCACAAGATCAATGCTCGCCGACATCATTTGCTCGTCATTGCAATCTCAACAACTCCGGCATGGCGCCAAAGGGAAGCACTTGGTCCACAACAATCACGGCAGCGCAAGTTCTATCCTTCCGTTCAGCAGATCGTACTTAAATTAAGGCTGTGTACACTGTAAAATAATGTAGTACAGCCTGTATGCTACATGTACCAGGATCACTAGAGCAAGTGTTGATACAGTCCTGAGTCTTTCAAAATGTTTGACCATCTGACAGGCTTAAATCGGTTAAATACCGGTTTTCGTTGGAGACCTTGAAGTTGGAAGCTACTTCTCATTCGCGAATTCGTTTAGCACAGCACAAGCGCTTCTTCGAGCAACTGACCAAGCAGCGCAAGTGTCGACAAACCACGTTCCACTTCCTACCGACTGACTCCAACCCCCAAAGAAGAAGATAATGCAACACCAAGTGAAGGAATACTTCCCCAACGTGCCCAAGATCACGTTCGAGGGACAGAATGCCAAGAGCGTCCTTGCGTATCGCGAGTACAATGCGTCCGAGGTGATCATGGGCAAGACTATGGAGGAATGGTGCCGCTTTGCCGTCTGCTACTGGCACACCTTCGGCAACTCGGGCTCCGACCCGTTCGGTGGCGAGACGTACACGAACCGCCTCTGGAATGAGTCGCTGGAGAGAGCGAACATTTCGTCCCGCGAGCGACTTCTAGAGGCTGCCAAGTGCAAGGCTGATGCGGCCTTCGAGACGTTCACCAAGTTGGGTGTCAAGTACTACACGTTCCACGACGTGGATCTGATCTCTGAGGGCGCAAACCTGGAGGAATCTCAAAGCCTACTGGACGAGATCTCGGACTACCTGCTAGACAAGCAGAACCAGACGGGCGTCAGGTGTCTGTGGGGAACCACCAATCTATTTGGTCATCGCCGCTTCATGAATGGCGCCAGCACCAACCCCGACATGAAGGTGTTTGCCCATGCGGCGGCACGGGTGAAGAAGGCGATGGAGATCACACTCAAGTTGGGTGGACAGAACTTTGTCTTTTGGGGAGGCCGCGAAGGGTTCCAGAGCATCCTCAATACGGACATGAAGACGGAGCTGGACCACATGGCGGCGTTCTTCAAGTTGGTAGTGGCCTACAAGAAAGAGCTGGGTGCTACCTTCCAGTTCTTGGTGGAGCCCAAGCCTCGTGAGCCCATGAAGCATCAGTACGACTACGATGCGGCGACAGTCGTGGCCTTCTTGCACACCTATGGACTCCAGAACGACTTCAAGCTCAACATCGAGCCAAACCACACGACACTCGCGGGTCATGACTACGAGCACGACATCTACTACGCCGCCAGCTACAAGATGTTGGGCTCTGTGGACTGCAACACGGGCGACCCGCTTGTGGGATGGGACACCGACCAGTTCCTCATGGACGAGAAGAAGGCTGTGCTCGTCATGAAGAAGATCGTCGAGATCGGCGGCCTCGCACCCGGGGGCCTCAACTTCGACGCCAAGGTGCGTCGCGAGTCCACGGACCTCGAGGACATTTTCATCGCCCACATCGGCTCCATGGACTGTTTCGCTCGCGGTCTGCGTCAGGCGGCCAAGCTGCTGGAAAAGAACGAGCTGGGCGAGCTGGTTAAACAGCGTTATGCTTCGTGGAAGAGCACGCTGGGTGAGCGCATTGAGCAGGGCCAGGCTACACTCGAGGAGGTGGCAGCGTATGCGAAAGAGTCTGGTGAGCCGGACCACGTGTCTGGTAAACAAGAGCTGGCCGAGTTGATGTGGAGTACAGTAGCTCTAGCTACCGGTATTTGGCAGGACCATGTTACATGCTCGCTGACAAAAAACTGGTGTTGACTTTGGCTCTTTTTTTTAGTGACTTTACCTTTGCAAATAGTGTTGCTATTATAGTGAGCACCATCAGATTCTATAAACCCAGGTTTTATGACGGGGGTGGGTGGGATAAAGGTTATTAATAGTCAAAAGCCTAGCTCTGTACCTTTTTAAATGTACATTTATTTAAAAACCAAAAACTACTACAGGAAACCGTGAATTTTCAGAAATCCAATCAGAGGTAGCTGTATAAGCTGCGTTAGGGGTCGGAAAGATGCCCCGGTTATGAGGGTTTATGCTGTATGTACAGCATAAGGAAATATAAGCATGCTTTCACTATGGCCCTGGCGTTTGCACATCCTTCGGTATATAAATTTTTATATAACGGAGGAAAAAAGACTGATCGCATTTTTCCATAGGGTAGGGGCTACAGTACCATTCTCCAGGTTCTCGATTTTTGGAATGCAATCTGACAGTTTGAAACGATCATTCAGATTAAATATTGCATTTTGGAGGAGCCTTTCGCGCCAAATCACCCAGGCCAGTCAGTTGAGATTTTGCGCGGGGAGAAGAAAAGCGATGGTGGGGACGCGCGGCAGCGCTCCACGTGAAGACGCAGCGGTAGTACCCGAGGAAGAGCGTGGGACAAAGCACTTCCGTCTTATCTGGCCGGAATTTAAGAAACTGGGGTGGACGTCCAAGGCTCCGCCTTCTCGCGATATTGAGACGTGATGGAAGTACATCCTGCCAGGTGGTAGTGCTAATGGCACTGTTGGCCTCGACTACGTCCTTGGTGAGCAAGCCGTGATGGACTACGCTTTGAAAAGTAAGTGGCTTGTGTATTGTTATGCTATCTGTGCTCTAATGGCTTGTATCGCATATGCAGTGAGCCAGCAATCAGCTATCGACCGAGTCCGCGCCACAACAGCAGCTGCAGCTGCTAAAGCGACTACTACACAACTTGCATCAACTGTTGGGCGTCAATCGCCTGGGCACAAGCCGTCCACGAAGAAGAGATCGTCGTCTAAGTCCCCAGCTAGAAGGTCTAAGCCTCCTACTAAAATGGCGACGGCCACGTCGCCACGTGCGAGCACCTGCATCCCAGTCAGCAGCGTATGAAAGGCCGAAAGGTAGGTACACTCCATCAATTTATCATTAATCTGTACGTGTAATTCTGTATATTTTACTTTACTATGATACAGCGCTGGCAACAAGTGCATCTTCTGCAAGCGCTTCCAAAATTCCACCACCTCCAACACTTGCGGCACCAAGTCTGGTGTCACCAGAAGGTATGCTACAAGGAATATTTTACATTATGTCTATTCATGCTAATCTGTGTATGCTACAATGCATCGTATTTGCTGTGCTGAAATTTGTAGAACCCGATATAAGCCGGGCCTTGTCTTCTCATACAAGTGGAGAAGAACCTGCGCCGAGTAATAAGAAGAAACAAAGTCCGGCGATGTCCGGTGACGATGGACCAGAGCAAGCAGATTCATCAAGAATTGAGGAGGAAGTAACACCAGGCACGCCGCTAAGGAACGTACGTTGGTTTTTCTGCTGTATATGATGCATACATGTTACACCTAACCTGTATCATAGACTGTATATTATGCATCAGTGATTGATTTATATGGAGATGGCGTTGACGAGGGAAATGCGCATCGCGACGATGACAGCACCTACCAAGGGCTGGACTCTGGTGATGAATCTGAAGAAGGTGACTTGAATGAGTGGACGAGTATTTTCACAAGAAAGAAGCCAGGGAACGACGGGCTAAGGCGTCTGGAAAGCCTGTGACGCCAAATAAGAAGACGAAGACTCGCTGGGATGTACGACAAGTTTCTGTCGGTGAAGCTCATTTTGCCGCACGAGCTCTGTGTGTACATAGCACTTCTCGTTGCACGGACGGTAATGCCTAATCGCGAAACATTTGCTAACCATTGGCTCAAGATGATGTCGTTGCAATTCCAAGAGGGGGTTTTGGTCAATTTTTGCCTCGCGACAGGCTTCTCGATATCAGCCGAAATCTACACTTCAACAGCAACCAAGACCCCCGTGCCAAGACCGATCGCGCATGGAATATCCGATCTGCAGTGAGCGTTTTGCAGCAGACATTCATGAATTCATACATCACTCCTGCAGAATTATCTTTTGATGAAGCGATGCTCCCTTCCAGATCGTTCTACAACAGTACCCGAATGTATATGAAAGATAAGCCGCACAAGTGGGAGGCGAAGCTCTTTATGCTTTGCTGCGCGCGTTCTGCTTACTGCATTCGATAAGATTGTAAATGTCTTTGCTGTATTAGCTGGGTTATTTAATCTGTCTATACAGCTTCTTGTTTGATAGCTTCGAAGTTTACTGCGGGCAAAAGCAACACATCGCAGAATCGGGAGTTGTGGATATGAAGTTGGGCCCTGCTGCGGTTGTGAGGAATTTGCGAGCTGTTTTTGAAGACAAACCTCCTGACAAGACGATGAGACTCGTGGTGGTTAAAAGGTTCTATATCTCTATCGTTCTGGCGGTACAACTGTTGGCCATGGGATTCTATACAATTAGGACAATTATGACGAATCGCTGCGGATTTTGTAAAGCAGTGGTGGCTAAGAATAAAACAGACCAAAGGACACTCCGCGTGGCTCAGTGACATTTGCTCGCTCAAAGCATGTGAATAATATGGCTGCAATTTGCTGGTGGAACAGCAAGCCTGTTCACTTTCTCTCTGTTGGTGGAAACCTCACGCTTGATCGTGTGGCACGCAGAGAGAAATTGATTTCGCAAGGGTATCCTTCGATCGCTTTCACATACTGTGGAATACTGATCTTTGCTTTCAAGTAGACCGTGCTGATATCTACCCCATAGAGTGTCAAGCTTAGTGCTGTCGCAAAGGCTACCATCAACCGGAAGTACGACATACGCCCTTTTTGTGAAAAGGTACCCAAGAAGTCAATCCCAGGGCGTTGATAGGTCTACGAGATTCGCGATAAACGAATTACAAACCCTTGCCGATCAGCCGAGATTTCATACACCCAGCGAGTCGTGATCAGTTTTGCGTCCTCGGCAACTTCCTCTTCTAGATTCTCTCTCAACTCTTTTAGCTCCTATTAAAGCCATTTCTTTCAGTTCAGCATTACACCAGAAGTTGATGTACTTCGAACGTTTTGCCTCTTGTCGATTCCGAGGAACTGTCACATCATTTTTTGGTGGGTCGTTCTATCCAATACACGTACAGTACTCTGTACTAAATTCGTCACATAGTCATTCAAACAACTGGGTCGATGACGCTCGTGATACTTTCGCGAGCTCGTTTCACTTTCGGCTTCTGTGCGCTATGTCCTGCACGACACTCCTCCGACGGCGTCTCATCCCGCTCGTATTTTTCAATTATTTGACCACAAGTACTTTCATCATCATCACCGTCTTGATCCTCTTCGACAATGTCTCTTTCGTCATCGAAATCATCATTATTAATTGTAGATCCGCACACACTGGCAGCAAAATCATTGCCATCATTAACTGTATTAGTCTCCTCATTCTCACATATCCGAAGATACGATAGGTCGTGCTCTCAGATGCTGAAAAATAAGCAAGGGATCATGCGCTTTTCTAACCCGTGGTAGAATCGCTGAGTGGGCTTTCTACAGTTGATTTTATGAACATACGGCCAAGTGGGAAATGTATTGATAATGAAGTTGGTCAAACGGGGGCTACGACGTAATCCCCTCGAATCTGGCTCAGCTGGTATTGATCCTGAAAGCGATTCCGATAACATTTTTGACCGGCTAGATTACGCTGATCTTCTGGCTGAAATGGACGTTGACAGGATCTGGCAATGGAGCACGAATCGCTAGAATATCCATCTTGTGGCCAGAGCGAGGTAAAAAAAAACAAGTGGTGATCCTTTTGAAGAAATTGCTGATGACTCTAAAGTGGAGGCCACACAAATATCCCCAAAGACTGTTACGTCAGATGTGAAGAGCTGCGATAACCACAAACGTATGGTAGCTAAGATCGTACGTGATGAAGCGCAACGCAAATTGAAACCTGATCCGATACTCGGTGTGTAGAAGTACTTCGATTACCACCTCCAAAACCCCAAATCCGAAGGAAACTGAAATAAGGACGGATCACACCTCAGCCCAAGTTTGCTGCAATTATGGTGTCTTCGAAAAGCACCACGACTTTGACTCAAATCACACAATGGGCTAGCTTTTGTCCTAGTGTGGAGAGGGTCTAAAATGTACTCGACCAATACCCAGTTAGGATGACAAACGAGTTTTTTCAAGCTCGTCCTGTTACTTGTGAAGTTGCGCATCAAGACAGCGAGAACAAGGTCATTGATCAACTTTTTATTATTCCAGAAGCTTTACTGGAAAAGGCTGACGCGGCGATTAAGCAAAAGAAGGATTCACTTGCGAAGAACAATGAGGATGCCCCGTGGGGCTTGCTGGTTTCGTTTGGATCTAAAGACCTTGCTCTGCACCGGTATGTGGACCCTTTTGCTGTCGTGCTAAGGGTGCTTCACGAGAAATAAGGGTGCTCCAAATTATCTCTTTTTAATTGTCTCTGTTTCACTTTGCTATTTTGCCTTAATTTTTTCTCAGCAGAATGAAGCAGTCTACATACTACAGGCAGAAGCGAGGGGGGTTATTGAAAATACAAAATGGCTCAAGCAAGAGGGGCGCATAGCTCAGCCCATCATGTAGAGCCATTTTCGTTGGAGACGAAAACAAGTGGATTGCTGCATTTTGGTAGTGCAAGAATGTATGAAGCGCTGGCGGAAGATGCTCTTAAGAAGTACTCTTCGCTATCGCACACGACTATATTGAAGACTAAGTCGGGGTCTTTGTTTGTCAAATTTATTGATGTTGCTGCTGAAATACCTTGCGACGTGAGGGTGAACGATGTAGTGATCGATATGGGCATCAATATGGTTGCGAATTGTGTCGAAGGGTGTGTGGCGTTGTCCTATGGGCAAATTTTCCAAAGCTATGGCTGTCTGAGACACCGCTCGTGATTCTACCACTACATCTTAGCAGAATACAGGGGGGCTATCAACGTGGAGGTGGCATTCCCTACGACGTTAAGCGTGAATTTCTACGAGCCACTCCGCCAGCAGCGACATCGGATAGAGATCACCAATGTGTGGAAAGACAAGTTGCTACCGTATTTGGACAATTGGCATTCAGAAAGTGGAGCCAAGGAGCCATTCCCGTAAGAAATTATTAAGAGGTGGGTTAACGAGCCTGCGCAGCCCTACGTCTCAAGCTGTGGTCTTATGATTCTTGGAATGATTTACACATTCGTGCGTAACGCCCACAGATTCAAGCGTCATCGTTTCACCGAGGCGTACACGCAAGTTATGAGATTGAGACTTTCGTGGCTACTGTTGTGCACAACAAAGAGGGCTACATCATTGAAGGGAACATCAAGAAAAGGCAGGAAACAAATGAAGCAATTAGCAAGGTTATGTCACCAAAATGAGCAAAACCTCAAAAGGCGGCAGTGAACTCAAGTTCTTAAAGAAGAAAAAAAAGAATGCATTCTTCATATTATCCATTTGCCGCCGCTTCACTGCCCTGAAGGATCACGCCGTAGTAGCCTGATCACTTGCCCCAGTAGAACTCCTTCTCATGGAGTGTAACCACTTCACACAGGGGTCTTTCCGACGCTTGCAGTCAGCTCGTTGATTGCCTCGGCTTTTCGTACGAGCATCTCTTCGATCTTTTCGCGAGCGAACATCAGATAATTTAGCGCCTCCGTCATTGTGTGCACCTTGTCTTGAAGCTTTTGAAGCTCGTGGGCTTTGGAGCGCAGGCGCTCGCGTACCAATAATTGCTGATCCATGCCAACATTCATTTTCGGCTCGCGCTGGTATTTGGTAAAAGAAGCTGAAAATAAGATGTGCCTTGGTTTAAAATTCTCACTGGCGATGTCACTATTGTGAAACTTCGCTTCGATACGCTACATTGTTGGTAAATTATTTTCGTAATTAACGGTGACTTTAGAAAAATGGCGCCGCAATGCCATAAGGGTGCTGGTAGGCTGTCGTATTGTTGTAACCTAATGGCGCTCTAACGCCATTCTGTCGAGGGGGGGGGCGAAACACGCCCTCCAAAAATACTACGGGTAATACATTACCAAATATTAGAGCAGTACATTAGGATAAACTTTATACTGGGAGATAGGTAGCGTAAGCTAGCCATTGGGAAGCCCAACGAGGTTTAATTTGTCGTCAACTGGAGGACTTCCGAAATTTGCAAATCACAAAAAGAAGAAGCCACACTTTCACGCTTGCTTTTGAATGAAAAGGCGCTCGCAAATCACTGCACAAATTGTTCGGACCGGTTTAGCGTCTCTCCAATTTGTGAGCGGCTGGTGGCTCACAGGTAGCTGTACTCGGAGGGCAGTGACGCTCCGAGCTAATTGAACTAACATCACGCCTCATTTCCTGATCTACTTCTTACACGATGGCACCTTCCAAGTCTAAGACAGGCCGAGGAAAGAGCTGAACCGGGCCGGAGCTGAATCGCATGTTGACTGCGGTGGAAGACATCCTTCCTCTGGGAGGCAATGAGTAGGAGACTGCTGCAGGTCGATACGGCAAAGAGCTCCCACGCGAGTTTTCTGAGCGTGACGCTGACGCCATCAAGAGGAAGTTCTTGGCGTTGAAGAACGCTTTGAAGCCAACGGGTGACCCATCTTGTCCGGAGGAGGTAGCTCGCTCTAAGCGCGAGTACTACAGGATGGAGTCTAGTTCTGGTGTTGAGGCGTTTGAAGACACGGCACCCGCCAACACCACGAGCACCCCTGCATCAGCATCACCAATTGCCGAAGCCCCAGCCCCATCACCGTCTTCTCCCAGTGGAACAGCTTCCACCGCTACTTCTCTAGCAGCTGAGTCTGCGATTCCTACCACAGCGCCTCCAACGCCGTCTTCTGTCGAAGACAGCGCAAACGCAGGAGCACGTTCCGCTTCTCAGCGATGCGGTAAGACGCCAAACGAACTTGCCAATTTAAATGAAGTGCTCAAGCGTGCCCGTGCTACTGCTGAAGATGCAGAGGTTTCTCAAACGGTCAAACGCAGGAGGACGATCAACAATTTGCTGGGCAAGCTGGAAAAAGAGAGCGGTGGTTTCACCGATATGGTGCAGGCAGTCATTGCTATGGAGGAACGTGCTGCGGTACGTGAGTTGGAATATCGTAGAGAGCGCGAAGAACGAGAGGCAAAGAGGGAGGAGCGAGAGCATCGCCGTGAAGAGTTGTTTTTCGTCTTGATGACAAAGCTGTTGGGCGACAAGCCGAGCCCAACCAGCACCTAGCGTAGTTGCACATTTGCGGCAAGATTCGAAACAGTATAACCATAAATACACTCGTTTTCTAAGCGAACACCTTCGCATTGATCGCTCCCAGCTTAACCTGGATAACTAGGCTTACAGGTACTCTGAAAACACGCTTCGGATCTGACTGAAACCTGTTTTTCTAACACGAAGATTGTATAGTCGATAGATGTTTCGCAGAAGGCGTCCACGTTCTTGGGGGTCGAATGGAAGGCGCAGTTGCAGACGCCGATAACAACGCTCGGCGGAGCCCATGCCCCAATCGGCTGCCTGTCGGACCGATGTAATGGCGTTGCTAAGCGCCACCAAACCGAGTCGGCATTCAATGTGGGCTCGTTCTAGATCACCATCTTTCAGAGGCGCTCGAATTCGTCCAAACAGTGAACGACTAACGGGAAACGCCGAGTCCGCGACAACGCCACACCCTTCGACTGTCCGCAATGGATCCGACAAGCGTAGTTGTAGCTGATGACTCGTCTCGCCATCGTTCCAGGAACCGGGAGGGTTGTGCCGCCCCCACACAAGTGTACCATCGACACCATAGCACAATGTGCCTGTCACTGAGACCGAATGCAACCAGCCTAGTGTCAGCAGTAAATGTTAGCAAGTAGAACGCCATCCAGTTAGAGTCCAACTTACCGTAGTAGTTTGCATTTGTAGATCAGCATCGGTGGGACTTTGGACTCGATAATTTTTACCATCTACAAAACCCACACGCCTTCCAGAAGAGGCTCCTTTGCTTGCCCTTGACGCGACCACTGACGCTGTTGCTGTTTGAAAGGAAAGCGCACTTGAGCATCTGGAAGCTCAAGCAAGGCTGCATCTAATGCAGCCTCTTTTTTTTTAGGACACGTGATAGTGTTGCAGGGGGGATTCCAAAGAGCTCACAGAGCGTCTTAGCTTCGCCAACAGCAGTGTAGTAGTGTAGCACGCACGCTAAAGCAGCATGCTTCACTACTAATGCAGGAGGGCGCCCACGACGGCCAAGACCTGACGCTACGACGTAATACCTTGAGAAAACCTTCAGTAGCTCGTCAAAAGCACCAGGTGGGATTGACACGGTGGCAACGAATCTGCCTTCGGCTCGTCCAGCGTACATGACGTGTCAAGGAGACTGCAGAGGTGAGATGAGCGCATCGCTTGTCAAATAGTCCCTCTCTCTGACCATCATCCGCAGGCGCAGCAGCAGCAAAAGATGGTGTCGTGAACGCTTCGTCTTGCATGGCTCTTAAATGGCCACCAAGATGGTTGGCGGCAGCATTTCCTTCAAATGTGAGTCTGTTTGTGTGAATTTTAATGGCTCATAGCTCTTGCTTGCGCTCGCATTTGGAGGGGTAGGTACTAGCAAACCGATCGCAAAATGAGATGCGATCGCAGTTGTGCAGTTTTTGGAAGTCTTCCACTGGGTCAACGCTCATGCCACATGAATATGTGGTCACATCATAATGCTTTGTAAAATTAAACTTTCAACTCAGGTGATCTGTCAGGAATTTTCGTGCAAAAATCAACAAAGAACTCCTTATTTACAGACGCCAGGCAAAGGCAAAAAACAAAAATGCAATTATGTATGACTCGTTGCATCCACCAACTATTTCGACATAAAATGGACGAAATCTGAAAAACACATGTAAGCTTAGGGCTAGAAGGTACCGGTGAGACTGTCGGTATGAATCTCTACGAGTTCGTTTTTCCTACGATTGGTCCCTAGACCAACTATAAACCAATTTAAGTCTATTACATAGGTGACGCATACATGTTATTTTTTTTTCAACAATATCAAATGAGTTTTATTCGAACATAGGCAATGTGTCGGAATCCCCAACGTTATAGTGCAGACTGATACACGCAAAAGAAGAAGTAGGATAAGAAGAAGAAGAAGAAGGGTGGGGGCGGGCGCTTTAATATAGATCAAGTCGTTATTTATTAGAAAGTAGGCATTAAAAAGTAAAAAGAATCCATTTTTCTTTGTAGTTACTTAGAAGTATTCTTGATTTGCATCCCGAAGAGTACATAGCAGAAGTTCTTGTAGCGAGTTCTCTCCAGTTCTTTCTCTGATAATGGTTCCGTATCAGTTGATACAATCTTGTCTGGTGACAATATGTATGCTGACACGTTGTAGTCGAACCAGTGAGCCACATATACGCCACAGCTGAATCCGTCTTGTTGAAGCCACGCGCGAAATTCTCGAATCTCCAATTTGTAGGCTGGGTCGACTAGTTCCAAAAATACGTTTACCACCTTCCTTTTCACCTCATCTTCGTGTTTCTTCTTGTGAAAGGGGTCGTAGATCCAGATCACGCGTCTCTTCATATCAATTATAACTCCACACCAATGTCCGTAGTCGATATTAATGTAGATTGGACACAACATTGCTAAACCATCGTGGCATATGCTGAAAAGCTGGCTCTTTGTGTCAAAGAGTCGATTGCGCTGGTCATCACCCTCGAAATACGAAATGTCGGGTTGATTGCGTGAATATTTGGAGGGGGATTCCACGATGCCTCTGCTGCAATTCGTTGCGTTGCGCTCATCAGACACTCATCACTGAGCCATCCGTCGTTGCCAAATCTAGCAAGCTCGGCAAATTCCACGGACACTCCACCAGAATTAACAGACCCACGTAGATCTAGCTCTAAAACAGTCTCCACAATCGCATTTCTCTCTTCCTCCTCATCAGGATTTTCAAACTTCACACTTTTAATCCATGATAATAGCGCCTTTGCGCCACGAACAACGGATGCCATGGAATGCCGTTGCTGCATAATTGCAATATCGTTTGCCCGAGACGTCTGCACCTTCAAAATCACCACGGCAACATCGTCATGGAAGACATCCCTCCCATTGTTTGCTTTCTCGCGGAGTATCACGTTTTCAATTGCAGTGATACACTTCTTAACTAGCGCAACTACAATTAACGGTTCATATATATGTTAGTTTCAATTTACACAATAGTTGGTATCGTGTCGTCGGTAATTGGTGCAAAATTGGTATTTGGTACCCGAATACCAATTATAGCCCACTGCTTACCCATTAAACCAATTGTGAACCAACTATACCAACGCGAGCACAAGATAGCAAACTTACCAGGCAGAACACCACGGACTTTGGTTTCACATGCGTCACTTGACGAATCGGTGAGCAGTTTCGCCTTTTTGGACGCTTGAAACCCGCATCTGTATGCATTAGTTGAAGACCGCTAAACACGTCTTCAATCTCAGAGAGCGTAATTGCCTCGTGCAGCGCAAGCTAGGCGAACTTGGCGAGCGTAACATCCCCGATTGTAGTTAGGCGGTCGGCAAGTTCTTGGCTCTCTTTGTACTCCTTTTTCCGTTTCGATTTCCTTACAGCCTGCTGCAACCGTGGCCGTCCAGACGGACGACTTGCTTCGTTCAAGACTATTATGGTTCGAGCCACAGCTGAGGAGCTATTTGATCACTACCTGAATGCTCTGAAGGAGCTATGTCGTGGGAAGTTGGCATTTGTGGAGTATTTGGAGACCAACTTGCTTTCGTGCAAGGATCAATGGTGTACATTCCGTCGGGGTGAGCTGCCGCATCTTGATAATAACACGAACAATAGGCTTGAGGCTAGCTGGGGTGCTGCCAAGGACGTATTATCCAGACACTTCTATTTCTACAGCAGGCAGCTGAAGACGCTTACAAATTCAAGACTACACGGATCGGTCACCGTGTAAATCATGGCTACGACCGAGAAATGAAGATGCTAGCTCGTATAGCCACTCATCATGCGTGTAATCTCGTGGAGGAGCAGTACATGGCCTGTCAAAAGGCAGACTACACAGTGGAAGCTGATGGACTGACGTCAACGTTTCAAACTCTCAAAAGCAAAGTAACTCAACAAGACTATGCGGTATGCTGAATAAAGGTTTTGATGTGAAGCTTCTCGAAGTTCGTAAAACCGTACTCACGTTTACTGGTTTCTCGCTTGAGATAATCGATCACATGAAAGTGATACAGGATAATAGAAGCCTCTGGAAATTCAGCCTCGAGTGTGGATAGCTCGGTAAAATCCTTGTCAATAACTATGACTTGGATTTCCTTCCAGCATTCGATGTTGATCTTGAATGCAGAAATTGCGTTTTTCATGTTCTGTTTAGTTTCACCATCAATCAGTGACTGCTGCGCAAACGCTCCACACCCGAATTTGTCCGTCACCATGAAGCTAAATAGCCGATACCTAGAAATGAATAGTTGAGCGTGGTTAAAAAGATATGATAATATAAGCTGGGCATAATTGGTAAGTAGTTGGTAAAGTAATTGGTAACGCAATTGGGTATCGAACTATTACCCGAATATACCAACTATAGCAACAGCGTCACCAACCAAATGAATTACATCATTCAGCTCACCTGTTGATGTTCGTGCTATGGGTCGCATCAATGCAGACCTCCTCAGGGAACAGACGCGCCATGCGTCTCATGTGACTCGTCTGGAAGGCAATACAGCTCGTTAACTGAGAGTCAGTGTCTCGGTAGACCCTCACCACGTTACCGGGGCCCTCGCTGAAGTTCTCTAGTAGCTCCGTAACGCGAATGTTGTCATCAGGCGAGGTGTAGGACTCACGTCTCATCTCCGCGATCATGCTGTTTACATCTTGCGTTTGAATAGGCTTTCCAGATACATCTTTCACGTATCGGAGGATTTTTTTTCTTGGCTCCACCTTCATAAAAACAATCGTAGTGATACATAAATAATAAAAAAATTCCTGGTTGCTTGCGGCGTACCTTGCCACATTGTCCGAACGACGCTCCGAGTACCAGGTGACGTGATCTTTCGCGTCTCTGCGTATGTATTGAATACGTTCTCGGCGATGGCGTGGTTGTGCGTGGAATCGTGCAGCTTCACGCGCACGCGAAAAGAACCATCCTCGTCGACGAGCAACAATGCATTCAGCTTCGCAGGACACTGAATTCGACGTGTTGTGTGATTCGTACGCTTCCCCTGCCCTTTAGGCTTGAATTGACCTCCGTGAGTGCATGTCCAGCCCTTCGTGTAGTACCACAGTGATTCTTCCCATAACTTTGGCTGCGTTCCCCGAGCCTCCGCTTGCCGAACACGAGTTCAATTGCGATCTCTAATTGAGTTGCTCGTCCGCAGTTTGTAGACTTGGAATGTATCGCGTTGGTAGCTAGGAACAAAATAGAATTGACCAATTAAAACAAAATTAAGTAATAAAATAAATTGCAAATAATTGTACATACCCGCTGAATGCCGCCTCCATATCATCCCACGAGTCAAATACCCCAGCGAAGGGCTCACACACCACACGAACCTTGGCTGGATCAGTGTCGTCTGGATCGCGGAAGTTTCCGTCAACTGGCA